GCACACACACACACACACACACACACACACACACAAACATAAACTCTACGCCCCCCCCCACACATCGAAAAACAAACTCATCAAACAGTCTAGGGAAGTGAAAGACTGTATTATTCAAGCAAGCAAGCAAACAAGAAAACAACAAGCCTGTCAAATGAGGACACAATATCTTAACCCTATCCGTACGATCTGGGGTCATTTTCTACCCCTGGGGTTGTATTCTTCACATTTTAGAATACCACTAGTACGAAGATCTCTTTGAAACTTTCAGTATTTCCCAAAAAATCATTTTGACAGATTGTGATGCAAAGCGTACGGATCAGATTAAAGATTAAATTTCTTCTTTGGACAGTAGTGGCACAGAGTTCCTCACGTCGTATGGACACGATAGTAAAACATGACCCACGGATAGAGTTGACTAATTAATCCGAACCCGAACTTACTTGGCGGCATCATCATCTGCAAGGGCCGCACCTTCCTCATCGTCCGCCCCAGGCACTGCCTTCTTCGCGGCTCCCTTCGCCTGGAAACAAAAAGCAACTTTTATTTATCCTGATAAAAATGTGTTTTTTTGGTGTTTTTTTTAAAGTAGAGGTTTTACGGCGCTCGCAACTGCATAAGGTCATATGAGCGCCAGAAGATTAGAGGTGTTACAAGAGAGTAACAAACATAAAAAAGAAGAAGGGGGATAAGGACGATATATGTTTGATAGGAAAGAAGGAGCAAACCACACCAGAGCACCCGCCAACGGCCCACTAAAAATGTTTATACTTATAAGAAAAAAAATGCATCTAATTTGTATAGCGCAAATTCCTGCTAAACAACAAGTTCTATGCGCTTTATAATCTTTATTGTCACTTCTGCAATGACAGACGAATTCTAGTGGATTAATAATTTCAAGAATGTCGGAATTACCGAATTACAAATTAGGCTTTATTCAATTCCTTTCACCAATTTGTTCTGAACAGTATCCGTCGGAAATAGAAACAGAACAGGGAAAACTATCACAAAAACGACTTAACGAAGAGACACTACAAATATGACATTGCGGTACACACACTTTTCATAAGATAATTACAGCCATGGAGCCCATAACATTTTCACAACACACCATAGACCTGATATTATTCTGAAACAATCTCAACGCTCTGATAAGCAAATTGTGACATTGGGGCTGACAGAATTATTGACGGTATTCCGTGATTCCGCTAAAGATCCCCGAGTGAACAACTATCTACATTCTATTGATATGCGCTACTCCCACACAGTGCAGCTTGCATTTTGAGCTACCACCGACATTTCTCGTTCCAAGGTCCACCTCTGAGATATCCCGTCTCACCAACACGTTTTGCTCGGCTTTGTGAGTTTACGACCTGTGAGCGCTCAAACAACATGGGTCGGCAGCGAAATAAACGCATGTGGGGTTGTATTAAAGTAACATAATTGGCATTATCCTGGGCGGTGGTGTGGGTAGCTCAGTTTATAATCTCACGAGGGATTTCTTAACCTCAAGGAGTTTTCATAGTCCTTATTCAAATGATGGGCAAAGTCTTATGTTTGATTCGGAATAGAAGTTATATTCGAGCTCTTGCTTCTTACATGCCCCCACCACGTACCAAACTGACATGTATACCTGATGTTCATAAATACATACGTTGATAGACACAATATGAAGCAGGCGTTTGCAAACAAACGAGTATCGGGATGGACATGAAGATAAATTAAAATTAAGGATGCAACGACGTATAACTAAATCACGGGATGCAGAAAGTCGACTGACACATATTTGATGTTAAATAAATATTGGCGATAAAATGTTCTCAAATACATAGTTTATTAGAATATGCAGACTAAGAAGTAGACAAATTTTCAACCCAATGAAAATGCAACACATAAACAGAGGGAAGCGGGTGCATACATAATATATTATATGGATATAGATTCTAAATGCACCTGTTCACTATAAGAAAAAGAATAACAATTTTATCAAATCTATTGAGGCCGTACATTCCAACTCGCAGTTGAAAGTCATTAGCTGACAAAAATAAATTTCTTTTACCATCTATGAAACTTAAAACAATGGTTGAAAGAGCATTTGAATACCAAGGCCCCAAAATCTGGAACGCTTTCTCAAGTACTTTAAGAGAGATCAAATCCTTTGATTCATTCAAATGTCAGCTGAAGTCATTTCTGTTTTTAAATTCATAGGGTGAATATTTGGAGTGATTTTCTTTTGGTCAGAACATAACGTTTTGTGTTATTGTTGTACATTATATTGTACTGTAAAGCGCTCAGAGCCTGTGTACTTCAATTGGGGTTGAGCGCTATATAAAACCCATTTATAATAATC